TGTGGTGGATTCGCTGCACCCCGCGGCGCCGAGGCCGAGGCGGAGGCCGGGGTGCGCGCTTGGCGAACGTGCCGGATCCGCGCGGCTCCGCTGCACCGGCCCCTGCGGCCGCCCGGGCGTCTCGGCTGGTCTCTGCGCTGCCCCGGCGAGGATGCGGCTGTTCCACTGGCTGCTGAAGCAGCCGGTGCCCAAGCAGATTGAGCGCTACTCGCGCTTCTCGCCATCACCGCTCTCCATCAAGCAGTTCCTGGACTTCGGTAAGTGCGGGGCCGTGGGCCCCCGCGGTAGCCACAGTCCTCACGCCCGGCGCGGGGCCGCTGCCTTCCGGGTCCGCCGCCTCGGGTCTCCTCAGGCTCCGGGCAAAATCCGTGGGAACCGCGGGCGGGACTCCGGGATGCCCAGGGGCTCTCCCGGGGGCTCGGATTTCGGGGCGCGGAGGGGCAGGGCCTGGCACCCGCACACTGGCCGGGGGCTAACCCGGAGACACAGGAACCGCATCCGAGGAGCCGGGCAGAACTCCCCAAACCTGCCATCGTTAGCTTCAAATCTACTTGACCCAAACCTCACCGCCCTTAAAACTTCGGAGCGGAATGTGGGTGGCTTTTTAACGTTTTTATTTTTAGATTTTGTTTTATTCGGTAAGAGCGCTTTAGAAACACCTTGAGGTCGTATAAATTATGCAATGGCATCTTGTTCCTTTTCTGCTCTAAGGTGCTGCTGTGTGGCCGGAGCGGCAGGACTCGAACTGCTGTCTTCGTGTAATGTGAAAGCAGTTAGAGGCCTGGACTGCAAACGCCTTAGATGCTGGGGAAGTGCGGGTATGTGGGCTCCTAGCGTCAGAGCAGGGTCTGATACAACCGGGGCCTCGGTGCCAGCACCTTTCGTCGCGCCTCTCGTTTTATGGGCCACTCACCTTCTCCCCTGTGGGGTGGGCTGGTGGGCAGTTTACATGGATTGAGGTGGCAGCGCAAAAGACCCAGCCCCCAGCCTGCCTGAGGCCTAGCTGAGATGGGAACAGATTCCACGACCTTCTGTTAACTGGATCGTGTTTCCCCAGAGTGGTGCCGTTTCAGCAGCTGAGGGAATACTCGCAATTGCTGAATGCGAGGGAGCTGGTTGTGAAACACCTCAAAGTAAAACAAAAGTGCGCACTCAGGTATCAAAGCGGAACGCGGCATCCTGGAAGGAAGAGAAAATGGAGCAGCAAAGATGTATTCTAAGCTCTCAAGGGAAAATAATGGAGCGGCTGTTCGTTTAATGAATTTTATGTAAATATCAAGGGATGGTGTCTGGTCATAAAAACCTAAGTGCAGAGAAGGTAGCACGTTCATTCGGGGAATACCCGATATGCAAAATGTGATGTTGTCTATACTTAGGTTGAGATAGGAAGAGAGGAATAGGTTCAAGTTGAGACCAAAATAAATTTTAAGACACCGATTTGTCAGCGAAGGACAAGAGAAGTAAGAGTTCAGTGAGATGTTGATCTTTGTATTTTAAAGTGCACTTCCCCAAAATTTTCAGTAGTTTTACTCTCCCATCTCTGGCCACCTGTGAGAATTTTAGAGGTTTGAGGCAGCTCCCGACTTAAAGAGTTTAGAAAGAAAATATCGCAGTTGCTATAAATAGCATGTTTTCCATCCCTAATGTATGGTTTAGAGACCATTCTGAAGGTATCAACCTTTCATTGGGGGTAAACTGAGACAGGTGAATTCCCAGTAAAAGGAACAAGAGGAATCCAGACTCCCAGTTCCTTTCTTCCACCCTGAAAGTTGAAGTGATAGCTCTCATAGCTCGGCAGAATTTCAGTTGTTTTATTTCTATAGCAGCTAGTATCTACCCATGTTAATAGGTGTCTTGGCAAGGATGTTACTTGAGTCGGAAAACCACAGCGGGGGATAGTGTTGTCATGGAAAACCCATAGGACCATTATCTGAAAACAAGTGTTCTAATTCTTGCTCTGCCACTGACTCAAAGCCTGGCCTTAGCTAAGTGACTGACCTGGGGTTCATTTTCCTCATCAAAAAATGTGTGGGTTGTATAAGGTCATCTCTAAAGCACAGCTCGAAAACTGTGTGATCCTAATTTCAAAGGAAAAGGGATGAGCTTCTAAAATGAAGATTACCAGACCTTCTGATAGATATTTCCCGTAGAAGGCTTCTGACCTATTTTGGGAGGAGTGGAGGGATAGTCTAATCGAGGAGAATGGAAGAAGCCTAATAATTGAAGTCTTTTCCTTATAAGGAAGCTCACAGAAGAGCTATATATAATTGTGGTAGAATTTGCTAGAAACTCAAGCCTCATTTGTAGTGCCCAGGGATGAATCAGGTGGCAGGCAGCCTATCTTTACTGAGAACAACTAGAAGACAGTTGTCACATAAAGGCCGTCCCTTCTCCCTTTGTCTTGGTTCTTCCAGCTCTTGATAGAAGTCCTATTTTGGCAAATGATGTGGGAGTTTGAGAATTCAGAATGGGTGTGGGGGATGTTTTTAAGGTGAGAAGCAAGGAGAGTGAAGAGGCTTTATGCCCCTGAATGATTGGAGGAAACCACAGAGGTGAGCCCCCTCGCATGCTTAAAGGCCCAACGGGGGAGCAGCAAATGATTCCATGTAGCCAGGCTGCCCAGGGACTGTGGCAAGCTCCTGGGTGTATGCTGGCTCCAGGAGAGGGAGCTGATTGGCACCAATTCAGTATATTTTAAAAGACCTGGGGCTCAAACAGAATAGATGTGTGGACCGTGCCGACCCACAGGCTGCCGCTTTGTGAACTTTATGACATTCCCCCTGGTTCCTTTATGAAGGGGACCGAAGTTTTTGACCAGAATACCTGGACTGGGACCAGTGAAAGGATGTACATGGAGTTTCATGTTTCAGTATTTGTTACAGCCACGGCGACCAATGGTAGTTCCTCTGGCCACTGAAATAGCTTTATTACCCTAATGTATCCACACTAGTAAGTGAGGTTATCTTTCTTATTCAAGAGGGAAGGCTAAAACTGCTTGTTACTTCAGAAGCAGTGGTTTTATTTGAAAGGAGGGTTTCTCAGTCTCAGCACATCTGACATTTTGGGACAGGTCCTTGGGGAGGTGACCTGTGCGCCGTGGGAGGTTTACTATAGCAGCATCCTGGCCTCTACCCACTAAATGCCAGTGGCGCCCCTCCCCCCACACTCCCTCCACCCAGGAGTTGTGACAGCCAAACACGTTTCCAGACAGCACCATGTCCCCCTGGGGAGCAAAATAAATCACCTTCTGTTGAGGACCACTGCTGTAAAGCATTTGGATGCGTGGTTTTCATGCTTGGGCCCCCTCCCCCAACCTGTAATATAAATGTTCTGGGAATGGGTACAGGGCATTGGTATTTTTGGTTATTCTGAAGGATAACCAGGGTTGAGAACCACTAATTGAATGATATTCTGGATCTAGAGTTCTGTCCCCCTTTCATCTGTGGGCCATATTTCTCTGTGCCCTTTAAAATAAAAGGAGTTTCTTGAGCTCATTCTTTACTTGAAACATGGCCTTCCACACGGTTGGTAAGTGTACAGGAACAGCAAGTGTTCTAAATGGATTATGAGTTTATAACGGCAGTAAGTTCTAAAGGGTGGGATTTTTTTTTTAAAAAAAGATGTATTCTTTTTCACTTGAGATTATAGTTACATAGTTCCAAATTCAAAAGGACATAGACAGAAAAGTTAACTTCCTACTTTTGTCCATTGGCCTCCCCATTTTTAAATAAATGGCAACTTGTAATGCTTTTGTCTGTACCTGGCTTTTTAAACTTAATTTCTCAGACAGCTTTCCATATCTGTGTCTGCAGAATTTCCTTTTTCTTTTTTATGGCTTCTGAGGATTTGTTTATATGAGTGTACTATATTCATTAGCCAACTCCCTGGTGATGGTTAGTAGGTTGTTTGCAGTCTTTGCTATGACAACCAGTGCAACAGTGAATTCTTGTGTCCATCATTTCATGCATGTGTGAGTGTATATATAGGGCAAATTCCTGAACATTGGATTTCTATAGCAAATTGTGATAAACATTGTGAAATTGCTCTCCATCAAGGCTTGCCTGTTTATCCTCTCACTAGAAGTTTCTGAGAGTACCCATTTTCCTACACTTTTACCACACTGTTGTCAAACTTTTGGTAAGTGAAAAAGTATATCCAGACAGAATTTTTTTCTCCTTGAGTAAAAAAATTGTTTTTTAAATTGAAGTATAGTTGATTCACAATATTATATTAGTTTCAAGTATACAGCATAGTGATTCAGTATTTTTAAGAGTAAATTTTTTTTTAATTTTAGCTTGGAATTTTCTAAGCATCTACAGAACTAGAGAGAATAGTATGATGAATTCCTGGGTTCATTATATTGATACCATGTGCTGTTTGTGGATTTGTGTGTATGTGCAGTCTGTTAGATTTTCTTGTCAGTATCATGCTTGATTCAGAAGAAATCATTTTCTTTCTACACGAAGACCAGTTTATCTTTCAAATTGTTTTTTAAAGATTTGGTAGAATCCACCTATGAAATAAACCTAGTGTGTCTTGGTATTGCTCTCTGACAGCTTTCTCTGTTCTGGGGTATTGATCAATATAGATCCCTGTCTCTTCTAGAGTTGCTTTTGTATATTTCTCTAGAAAATTATCCTAGTCATGGAGGTTTTTAAGTCAGTTTGCATAGCTGAGATAGTAGTCTCTTAGTCTGGATTTTCTCTGTGGCTCTTCCCCACTTTATTTTCTATTTGTTCTGCCCTCCCCCTTTCTTGATTAGATTAGATGGTGTTTTATATGATTGAGTTCACTTAATAGTGTTATGACTTGTTTTCTCACTCATTAATGTCTACTTTAACTTTATTAATCCTCCCTGATCTCGATGTTATTCTTTCTTTTTTTTTTCAATGGGAAAAGTCATTTTTTTTTTGTTTTGGTATTTAGGGCTATAGTTATTCCTCTGAGCACTGCTTTAGCAGCTAATGTGTATAATATTTGACCCTTTTTCCTCCCAGCCTTTCTGCATCTTCAGATTTTCATTCTTCTATGAGCTAAGAGTTGAGTTTTTAAATGTCCAGTGTAGGTGCACCCTGTATTTTAATTTTATTGATGTTTAGTTTTGTTGCATTGTGATCAGAGGATGTTATCTGACTCATTAATTTATTGAGGCTTGCTTTGTAGTGCAATCCATGCTCATTTCCTGTCACTGTTCCTTGGGCAGCAAAAGAAAGGTTACGTTCTCTTCTCAGGTTAGGGAGCTTGATATATCACATCT